CAAAGGCATGTATAACTTCACTGGACATAAAGAGATAACAGAGTACAACCAATTATCTAAACTTTCCAAACAACTAGAGCAATTACATTGATCTTTACAATTACAGTATATCACATGTCTAATAAATTAATCAAATTATATCTTAAAGAAAAATAATTAATGGAAAAAATCTTCTACCCCCTGAATCTGTGAACAGCATTATGCTGTTARTTATTTAACAATTAATTATACAAGATGTTTATTTGCTATTTGCTGAGGACAGCTGCTATGACTCCTATCCCTTAATGTTTCGTGAATGTCAATTAGATACTGACAGATGACAGTCTCCTGTTCATGTTCTCGGCATCCAGTTTAAGGTGCTGCAKTTTCTGACACACTGAAACATCTTTTCCTGTTGCAAATATATCCAAGAAATGTTGTTTGAAAAGCCAATGGGCAACCAAATCAGAAAAATTAAAAAAAAMCAGTAATTTTTTTTTAAATTTACTGAACATTAAATCTATCTGAGAGAGATGACTAGTAGTTTGGTCATGTTTTGGGCTAGGACAAGAAAGACAGCTTCACACAATATTGCATATTCAATTAATAAGATTTTGACTGATTTCTCTTTTATTTCCTATTTCAAGGAATGCTTCTTGAAATACAACGTCAAATAAAACCAYCTGAGGCTAATATTCCAAACAGTCAAATGCCCATATTCCCTCACCTTATCTGAACCTGACTTYAACGTAAAGCTGACATCTATGGGTTAGATCAGAGTTGCCTGAGGTTTCATTCACTTATCTTTACAYAAATTTAGTTACCTCCATGTTGAGAAGTTTAAATTTAGCATACAAATAGTACTGTGCAATTTACTTTAGTTACTGCATCATTTAGAGATGTACTATGTAGTTATTAGTAACCATGGGTAACTTGCCTTCTATATTTAAATGCATATTAGGTACACATAGGCATATTTGTGGATATTTTACCAGTATTTCATGAGAAAGGCATATCATATCAAATTACTCTGACATAAAAAACCTGAGTATACAAGTAAGCATATTTCAAGAGAGATATTCCTAGCCTTGACTAAAGGTCTTTTAAGGATAATCTGAAACTTCTTTTTGTATCTTTTTCTGGCTGTGTGGCAACTTAAAGTACCTGACTTTATAAATCTTGATGACCCTTGCAGAATACTGGAGGATGATAACTTTACTGTTCTGTGGTATGAATAGCATAAATGAGAGAAGAACTGGAAAACAGAAAAAATTATGACATGGTACCTGGCCTGTATGAAATAAGAGCTGTCACTTGCTGTTCCACACACTTGCTTTGAATGGACCTGGACAGAGAGCCAAATCCACTTGTAAGTACTCATGTATGGGTTAGGAACTCAGTACTGGTTAGGACTACACCACCCTTCCCCAGGTCCCATTTATTACTGACCTGCTTGCACTGCAGATTAACAGCTGCCTTGTGTCTTCAGCTTTTGGTCAGGTACCCCTGATTCCATTATATTCTTTCCAAATAGCTCCACTAAACAGGAGCGAATTGTTTCCATCTGAGCTACAGTCAACTTCTTTAGTTTTATATACATATATATATATATATATATATATATATATACACACACACACACACACACACACACATAATTATAATGTGGTCTTGCAAAATTCTGATTAATGATCTTGAATTTTCAGATCTACACACACAGTCACAAATAAGTAGCTCAGACACTAAAATACTCTTGCACCCTCTCTCTTCCCCCTTCCCCCTGCTATGAAAGTTTTTGTTCTCTTAGCTGAATCAGTGACAGCTTTTCATGTCTATATTAGAGATTATGCAAAAAGTACACTGGAGGGTCTCAAACCACTTTAGAAGGCTGCAATCCCATATTGACAATACACATTAGGGAATATGGCACATTTGCATCAGTGCAATATTGTGCATCAGTGCAAACAGATTTTGCCCACTGGCAATCTCCCAGGATACATGCTATTCCCTGACATGTTTTCTGTAGCAGTTACTTTTCTGCACTGTGTAAAAAGAAGCCTTCTTCCCATTCTAGCAATATCATTTAGTGTGAGACCCAATTGTACATGCCATGAGCTTTCCTCCGCTGAGATTGCTGTATATTCACACATGCACTCACCAAAAAGTAGTTGTTTTTCTGGTTTGCATTCATGTCTCCAAAGAATCCTTTGATCTACACATATAACCTCCTCTTCACCCCTCCTCCTGCTCCTCCAACTTGTTTTCATTTATTAAAAAAACACTGCTTCCATTTTTTTACCTGGAGCTTGTCAAGGGACAAGAGATATGAGGATCCTTATTATTCACATCAGACAAATGTGTAATTCTTTCTCCTTCAGACATATTCACTGCTTGATAATCTACGTATTGCTGCTTCTTAAACAAAAGATTGGTTTTGAATTTGGCTTTCATTGTTTTAGCTTCCTCTTAAAGCAATTTGTCACGAAAATCTARTACAAAATTATTCCCACACAAGGAAGATGGTCTAGTTGATGTGACAGGAGGAAAACAGCAAGAACTCTAACATTTAGACCAGCCGCCTCTAATTGYAACCAACATCGTGTGACTTCTCAGCAGCACAATCAATCTCTCACATCAGAAGAGATGAACGTACTACGGAAAAAAAAATATTGAAAATATTGGAAAGAATTAGCAATATCTCACACCACTTACCTCCCTCTGAATTAYTGGCAATACTCAGCATTCAGCTGAACACTTAATTCAGCTCTAAACTTAATATACTCTATTGAACTAAGTCACACACTAAAGATTTCCACTCTGTTAATATAGTGTTCTACATGTGGAAATAAATTAGATAAAAAAAATCAGTGAAGCTGGAGAGTTCAAACTGATGCAACATGTTTTAGCTTACTTTCTCTGTAACAACTTCCCACTCCACAGTAACGCTTCTATTTTGCATTGAGGAGACTGTCTTTTTAAAAGGATGCATTGATATAAAATTCAGCAAATTATTTAGTCTTAGCTTCCCATTGAATTCAGCTTATGCATGAGTTAGAAGCTTAAATGTTTTCTTGGATGTGASCTCAAAACAGTATCTCAAGACATTTCCCCAGTGGAAAATAATTTCCTTAACAGGGTAGTGATGAGTCATCTGGTCTTTATGCCTTAGGGCTCTGCAAGTGAGGTGAGTAGACATTGCTACAGCACTCAATCATATAAAACCACAGCTGCTTCATCTGTAACCACAAGGGGACAAATCAATACCATTAGCTTCAGTGAAGTTATCCTGCTGACATACTTGACCCGAAATCCTTACCTAGAACACACAAGGGTGAGGAGTTATGGACAAAAAAATTACAAAATATCAGAGGAGTGAAAGTAAATTTTTCTTTAATYTCTCCCTGGGATTTAACTAAACTAGAATCGGTATTGTACAGCTCAGTGATGACAGTAAATGTAGTCCTCTACTTGTTTTTCCTAAATACGTATCTCTGAGGCCTAGGYATGTAGGACCTGAATTTATACGGAACACAAGTGGGGTGCACCAYACAGATAAGACTTATTTCTTTCATTTCTTTTAGCTTTCACTTCTACTAGTCAGGACTAATAGGATTAAACTGGAACAGTATGTGCTGTAATTTGTATATACCCACAGCAAATTATCATCACAGTAGAGGAAGCAGCAGAAATCTTATGGCTTAGCAGGGCATCTGAGGCACAATACTTACAAAAGATGACTGAAATGACAGGGCTAAAATACCACTCCTTGCTCAAAAAACCCCTTGATCATATTAATTCCCCATTTCCGGCAGAGCTGAAGACGAGTGCTATCTTCCGACCCAAGCCTTTTTTCACTTCTGCTGCTGTCAAGCAAACGACCTGACTGCCTATACGTGTGTGAACAGCCGTGTGGGGGCTGGCAGAGGAAGCTCGTTTGCATATGTACAGTCACACATGCAGTCGCATCTAGRTATCAGGGCCTGCGCAATCCTTCCCATCTCTGTATGAAGAAAATTTCTGCACAAAGGCTCATTTAAAGTCAGCTAGACACAAGCAAGCTCTGTTGATCTCCTTTGTTATTTTTTACTTCGGACGCATCACTTCAGCTGCAGACCTGACCATGCACGTACACTGCTTGCCATACCCAGCAATAGGCTCCTGTAGATGGATCACTTGCTGGGTGATACATCTGCCGCTGGATCTTATGGTTCACTCCAGCAAATCTTTCGATCAGTTAAACTCAACTTTAGAAAATGGCCTTGTTACAAGGCTGCTTCATGTTTGGCCTCTTTGCATTGGTCTGTGATACCAATGTAATCAAATTCCCAAAGTGTCTCCTGAGTAGGTGTYGCATCAGCCTGGTCTGAATCATTACCTGGAGTTCAGTGGTTCTTTCTTTATTTCTGTATCAGTCGTGATTTTCATCACACAGTTTTTGCAAACTGCTTATTTTACAACACGTGTTTCATAACACACTGAAAAGGACTGCCCGAACCTCAGGCATAAATTCACACATCGACAAAGTCCTCCCAGACATGTCCAAACTCCTGAGATCGCCTCATCGGGGCTGCAAGATCGGGGAGATGAAATCGCCGCCGTTCCGCTGCAGTAAGAGTCCCGGCTGCTGCTTCAGCTGGGAGCTGAGGGGGAAATCACCCCCCCACCACCCATTCTCGCCTCTTCCCCGAACATGCCGCTGGAACTGATCTCTCTTTTTGCCTCTCCTATTGGATGTCGCAGCTCCCCGCGGCTCTTGCACGGCCCCATGTCCCGATGCCAGCCGCCGCCCGATCCCGCCGGCCGCGCTGGCCGCTCGCCTCACGCCGCGCCAGAGGGGAGGCAGGTGAGAGCGGCCGSCCGCCCGCCCACCCGCGCGGCGGTGCGCATGCGCAGAGCGGTCCCAGGCATGCTCACTGCCGCGGGCGGGGGGAGCGGGACGCGCTGTGGCGGTGCTGCCCGGCTGCCCTCGGCTCCCCTCCGCTCCCCTCGGCTCTCCGCGCCCGCTGCCCTCGGCTCGCACCATGCGGCGGCGGGCGGCCGCCTGCCTCCGGGCGCTCTGCCTCTTGCTGCACCTCCGCGCCGCAGGTGAGCGGGGGCGGCCGCGGCCGGACGGTGGGGCGGGCGGGACGGCGGTGGGGACCCGCTTGCGCCCGGCGGCGGCGCACCTGYTGTGGCGGGAGGCGGGAGGCGGCGGCTTCCCCGGTCCGGCGGCGGCTGCTCGGGTCCGGACCCCGCCAGCCCCGGAGGCGGCGGGAGCGCTCGTCAGCACCGCGGACAGCGGCGGCCCCGGGCGGGCGAGCCCCGCGCTGCGAGCCCCGCGCTGCGCGCTCCGCGGAGCGGCCGCGCTTCGGCCCCGGATCGCGAGGACCTGGCCGGGGGCTACGACATCGAGACAAAATCGGGACTACCCATATTCATTCTTCTTATTTGATTTATTTATTTATTTTTTATTGCTGATGGGGAGGCGTTGCTACTTGTATGTGCTCGTGGCAGCAGTGTTTTTAGAAAGGGAAATTTCAGCTGCGACAGCAGCAGGCATTTCATCTTTTAGCRGTGCTAATAAATCCTCTCTCTGCTTTGCTGGCGAAACGTGTGCCTCATTCAGAAATGCAGTAAGCGATGAGCGCCCTAGTACGTACATGAAGTTCCACTGCCAGTTTCGTTCCAGTAGTCAGAGCTTATATTTCTGGCATGAGTCTCAGCCTTTCTTTAAGCCATGAAAACCTGCTCATCGTTCAGAGCCTCCGTTCTATCTTGTGCAGACTTCAGCATATATAATCTTAGGAATAAAATAGTATCTGGGGTAACTGTGTAATTGAATTAAGTTCTCAGTTAGAAAAGTTGAAGAGTTTCTTTATTTTGTCATTTATGACAAGCTTAGCCACTTCTGAAGTAGTAAATGGCTTGTAAATTCCATGAAGTTTATTTAAGAACAACAATGAAATGCACAGGTACTGATTCTTTTGGTCCCAGGAATGTTGCTTTTAGGAGAGATTTTTAAGATGCAATGGATTTGTACTGTTTTACTGCAGAATCATTAAAAGTAACAATTGAACTTCATGTCTCTTGATATAGAAGAAGTGTATGAACTTCCCAAATAAGATCTATTATGAAAATAAATGCTTGCTGCACCCTCCCCCCCCCCCCCCCCCCCCAGGTGTCAGGGGGAATGGTTTGTCTCAGCTATTTTATTGCCCTGTAATATTAGTCTACACTTCATAAAATTTATGGAACCTCTTTCCTGTATATCTATGGCTAGGATGCTCATGCTGTTATGCCTTATATTCATATGTGCAAGAGATTATCGACAGCAATATAGGGAGCATTTTGTGATCTGTTTTAATAAAAGCCTTAAGATGCTTTTAAATTGTTCTTTTACAGCGTGTATTAAATTGACCATCTGTACAAAATTAGAGTACAGCCTCTATTAGACATAACATGTCTTCTAATCTCAGTATATCCTCTATTAACAGTGGAATTTGCATTAGTTTTGTTGTGCTTCATTTTTCTCTCCTGCTAATGGAAACTGGGTCTATATTCTGTCAGTAAGCTGTTCACTTTCCTTACTGAGTTCCATTTGTTTCATTAAGTTACTTGCAAAGAGGTCTTGGTCTTCATTATGCAAATGTCTCTAATCATAAGAAAAAGAAGGGAAAATAGATGTTTATATGATGTAACTTTTTTCCCTGAGTAAYCCTGGAAAATAATAATTGCAGAGAGGACAACGGAAAGGATGTACAGAAGCTGAATTCAGCTTTGCACGGCTGGGCACGGCTCCCACTGAGCACAAGAGCTGAGTTTCCTCTGAGGCAGAGCTGCGTACAACTTGCTCTTGTTGGAAGTCATTGAAGATGTCACAACAGTGAAATAACAAAGGAAACTTAACATGCTAAGATTTCTCTGTTTCATCATATGCAAGTAGAAAATTTGGTCTTACACAGGCTACCACTATGGACATCTTTTATGTATAGCCTAAATTTATGAATTATTGATGGTGATTTTGAAGCTTTGGTTCACGCAAAATCACAAAATGCATTCTACTATCTAGGTCACAAATTATATCCCAAATGTCAATTTTTGTGTAATATATTGGAAACTGCTTGGCTTCTTGTTTTGAGGCTGAATTTATATGAGGCATGTTTCCAGAGAATGCTGAAGACACTGTCAGTAGATATTAAGAAAGTCTGCCTTGATATCAGTTGGTGGCAATAGATTTTGGAGAAAACCTAAGTCTACACTTACTTCAGGTAATGCTACAGCATAATGTGTTTAAGCACTGCTCTGTAGTGGAAAAGCAATGCATATGATATAGCAAATCCATTTCCTATGGAACTACAATTCTCCTACAGTTGTAGTAAAATTTTCTACAAAAATAGGAAATGTTCTTGTCAAAAATGTGATCAGGGATTTTCATGTTCTCAATAACAGTGTCATTTCACTGAGTTGACTTAGATACTGATTCCAATATAGCATGACAGTCATGTTATCAGAAAATTAAATATGATTGTGCTGTTAATATACACATATATTGCTACCTAAAATCAGACACTTGTATGTGCATCTCTGAAAACGGAATTAGGCCCTTCTGCTGAGTGTAGCAGGTGAAGTAATCAATGTGTATAGAGCTTGCTGTTGCGGAAAGACCTAAATTTATAGCAAATTATTACAGGTCAGCATGAACCTTCAACTTATATTATGCATTGCGTGAGAGAGTGCATAGCAGCACGGATTATACTCTCTTTTAGTATGTATGATCTAATACACATGTTCTTGCAATAAAAACCTGTTGTCTCCCAAGGTGACTACGATGCATTGTATCCTTGTAAAAGAATGGAATGTGGTAGCAAAWACATAAAGTGATGCATTAGACTAACTTGTAATTAGAGAGCCTTTTGAGTAATGTGCATTACTCAATTAYCTCTTTCACTTCATTTTCATTTTAAGCGAATTTTGTTAATGAAATTAAAATATATGATGAATTAAATATCCAGTTACTGGAAATTTGTGGGGGGAAAAAGTAAATCTGTGATTCTGTAAAATAGGCTAGGAAAACCAACTAGACTAGAAAATATGTCCACAGTTAACAATCACCATATCAACATATCACCTGCCTTGCATTAAAAATCTCTCTTTAAGAAAGAATTTTTGCGGAATTTGCTTTTAGGATGAACAAATCCTGGTCCTGCAGAAGCAAAAAGTTAACAACTGAATATTTGGTCAGCTCATCCAAACCATGGTTTGCTAAGAGCTTTATTACATAATTTTGTTATTCTCTTCATCACTGAAGATAGGTGTTGCCAACCTTAAGTCAATATGAACCAATATTTTCCCACTAGCCTTTGAAGAGAGGAAGTGTGTAGATCCTTATCTCAACCTCTTGATGGATCCATTCTTTCAGCCCCTCAGTGGAATCACATAAAATTTAGCATAGGAAATAGTGGCATTTTATCTTTTGGGGGCAATGCTGTAATAACAGGAGAATTCCTTATATCAAAACTGAAGTTTCTTTGACCACAAACTAACACTCCTTTGGGTAGAATTCACTAGGTAGAAATGTATGTTATAAATATGCTATACTGGTTCTCACACAGCCCACAGGGTATCCTTACTAAGTTCTGCTGAGTTCAGCTTTCCTGGTTGAACATGCACTGTGTGGTATTCTCATGCTTGGAAATTACTTGAGTGCACTGCAGTTTCTACTTAGATGTTGGGCAGACCTATTTTCTATAAAATGCACAAGCTCTGTCACAAAAGTAAGACAATCTGGAGACTGTACATGTAGGGTTGAGGTGAAAATTGCACAAAATGCATTTGCCATCAGATCCATTTCAGTAACCTCATACTAATGAGTGAATAATTCTAGGTTCCAAATACATTTAGAGTGAAAGTGAAGGAGCTATTGATTTAAAAAATGAATAAGGATTCTGCTTCATTGCACTAGCATAATCTAAATGAAGCTGGTTCTTATAACTGCTTTCTTTAAAAACACATTGCTGGCCATGAGTGAGTGTTTTTTACTAGAAGAGACTTTTCTGCCTTTTATTAGCAGGACTCATGAATAATCAGAGGGTAGTTGTCTATCTCTTTAAAGCTTTGCTGRGGGGAAAATAGTTTTATAATTCACTATCGGACTTAATATTTTTGAGGAAGTATTTAGTTGGAAAAGAGGCAATATTTTTACMTGTGGAAATTCATGCTATTCATATTTTAAAAGACATCATTTTCCATGAGAGATTTATGTTCCTTGCATCCATTAGGAAATAACTGAGATTTGTGGTCTTGGACTCTGACTAATTCCGTTTGTTGTATAAKAAGAAGATTGAAACATCTTAGACAGTAAAGGCTGCTTCCAACTTTTCTGGAGAGCAAGGTAGGAGAGTTACACAAAGTCCATGGGGGCCCTTGGGGGACTATAACTTTCTAGAAGGAGGCTAATGACATAACTCTGAGGCTCTGTTTGGTGGTTTATCCCCGCCCCCCCCCCCGCCAGGTGTGTTAGAAGGCTTGCTGTGGGGGATTAGATGGAAGGGTAGGACTCTTACTTCTTAAAGCACAGTCATTGTCCTATAGGATTTTCAGCGTGGCTTCAGAATACTTTCTTGGAGAAGTTAGTAAGATCTGCGCAGAAATCCTCTGTGGGATTTGTTAGAGCAATATTGCTGCTATAAAAAAAGMCAAAATCTGAAGACAGGAGTTGACTTTCCTTCATACCAGCTAGCGATTTCTATGGAGATACAGTATATTTCCTTGAGATACTATGTATTTACATCCACCTTATGCAGAGCAGAATTTATCCACAACCTTCATTTGAAAAATGACAATAATCACAAAATTAGAAAATTGATGCAGCACTTTTTCATACCGTCTGGAAAAAAACCATCGGATGTGAGTCTCTATGGTACATTAGTGCCAAGGCATAAGTGTGGCAGAATACTTAAGTGCCTTTGGGACCACTAGCTCATCTCTTAATTCACATGAGTAGACCTTGTGAGATCAATGGTCTGTGGTATCTAGTTTCAGTATTGACATATCAGGCAACAGGCCCATGAAATCAGATGCAAAGTGTCTTTTTGAAAGAGATTCCACTCATATGCTTAATCCAGATTCCCTGTAGCTGTGGATATTTTTGGCCAGGGCATTTTTGTCCTACTGAAAAGAACAAATTTAGCAAAAATGAAATTGCAGTTGTTTCTATTTTCAGCAGATTGCTTATTAGAGAGGGATAAAAATCCTTGCAATCATCTCCTTCCCTCCCTTCCTCCCTGTCTTGTGTGTACTCCCACCCTCCCTCAGTGGTGCAGTACCATCTTCATCACACATGCATGTTTTTGTGCACTTGCTTGCTCTCACAGATGCAAACACACACATTAAAAAGAATAATTTATATAGCTGCACACATATATACATACATTTTGTTCTACTTGATTTTGTCTGAAATTTTTTGTCAAAATTCTGAACATTGTGTTTAGGGGCAAATCAAAATATTTCTCTGAATTTTTACAATTGTTCTATCCTGTGCTTGTTTAGCTCTAGTGTAGTTTATTTGCTCTGAATTTTGACGGGTCATGGGTACTGTTCCTCTACTGGAAAAGGCCTGGCTGTAGGTTACTGACATAGCTAGGAAAGCCCAG